GTGGTGGTGGTGGTGGTGGTGGTGGTAGTAGTAGTAGTAGTAGTAGGAGGAGGAGGAGGAGGAGGAGGAGGAGAAGGGGGAGGAGGATGAGGAAAAGGAGCGGGATGAGGAGGAGACTTGGGTGAGCCTCTCACAGGCAGGCCTCGGCACCCGACGACTGGGGTGCGCCAGCGAAAGTGCCCCTCGGTAGCTTTTGGCACACGACTCCATCACAGAGGGTTGATGCAATCAAACCTTTGCGAAGCGTGAGGTGGAGGAGGGGGAGGAGGAAGACGAGGAGGAGGAGGTGGAGGAGGAGGAGGAGGATGATGATGAGAGGATGAGGAAAAGGAGGGCAGGATGAGGAGGGAAGAGGATGGGGGAAGAGGACGAGGACGAGGACGACGACGACGACGACGAGAGGGGCAAGGAGGAGGATCCCTCTCCCCGCAGGCGCGGTCGGAGATCTGCACGTCTTCCCGAGGAGGGTGGAGTGCAGGCACTCTGGACGAAAGGGCACGTACCGATAGAGCTACCCTGCCCTTGTTCCCGCTTTTTAGGGCCTCGGGAGAGGCTCTGGTCGCCACCGCTCGATTCGCATCGCATCTCTGGACAGATGTCGCCACCCTGGCCTTGGTCTCGCCGGTTTGACCCTTGGGGGAGGGCCCGGGTCGCCACCGCCCGGATTTGCCCCGACATTCTCGCCAGAGCGCACCCCGGGAAGGCGTTTTTTTTGTGTGTGTGTGTGGCCTCGGTGGAGGCCTTCGTCACCACGGCTGGGTTCGCCTCGAAGCTGTGGTTGGAACGCACCCTGGGAGAGGTCCGGGGAGCAGTGGCATCGGTACCTTTGGTTGCCCCAGGCACTGTCAGACCGGGCTGGACCCGCGGGAGGAGGCATACGGCACGGAGCTGTGCAACAGCTGCTACGACAAGTCGAACAAGAATTGCCAGATCTGCAATCGTTGGTCCCATCTGCCTCCTTCCTCTGGGTATCGCGTCTTTTCTTCTCTCTGGTCTGCGCTCCTCTTGTCTTAACCGTTCAAGCCAATCGATGCGGTCATCATGGCCACTGCCTCTGCAGTTGCCCAGCTAGATCAGCATCCCTGAAGGGACACGCAGTGGTCGAATGCCGATGTTGCGAACTCGTCCAGGATGTAGATGCGGGCTTGGGAGAGTAATCGATCGCTGGCAGTGTGGCGCCAGCCACTTCGTCTCTTGCATAGCTTCCAAATCTATTTTGATGAATGGCCGTTATGGCTACAGCTAGTTCGTCTCTCGACTCCAAGCTGCACCTCGATATCTTCCTCCCCCAGTCTCCTGCATCCCCCTCTATACGCTTCCCCCTCATCCTCCTCGCTCCGTCTCTTATATGGAGGCGTGTCATTCAGGAGGGAAAAAAACACACAGACACAATTAATCCTCGATTCTAAGGAAAATATGGGAAAATATGGGAATTGGGGGGGAAGACAAAAACCCAGAAAATATGGGAAAATATGGGGACTATTTTTATTTGTGTGTATTTATTTGTGTGTCCTAATTTCCCTTTAGTCATTTGTTCCCGCTGTATTGGCCATTTCGTGGGGCGGCCATCATGGCCAGCACGGGTGAAATCATGATGCCTGCGTTTGCAGTTTCGAGCTCCTCGATTGCGTTTTCTTTCTCCCGCGTCGGGGCGCCCCAGGGCAAGCGCAACCACGGACCCAGGGCACTCAGGGGGCCAGTCCGAAGGTGTTCCCGAGGTTTCCAGAAGTGTGCGCAGGGGAACCCCCGGGGCCTGGGCGCCTGGGGCAACCCCAGGGTGCCCTGGGAAGGCGGTGCCCCGGCCAGCCGGCGCTGGGCCAGGCGGCCGAGGTAACTCCGGGGTGCCCTGGCCAGGCGTCCGGGGCAACCCCGGGGTATACCCCGGACAGGCGTCCGGCGTAACGCCGGGGTTCCCCTGCTGGAGTAACTCAAGGCACCCCGGAAAGGCGGCCAGGGTTACCCCGGCCAGGCGGCTGCGGTAACCGCGGCGCGCCCTGGCTAGCCGGCCCCGCAGGGTGACCCCCCCGGGTACCCCAGCCAGGCGGCCATGGGTAACCTCATATGGCGCCCGGGCGGCCGGGCTGGGGTACCCCGCGGGGTGTCCCGGCGGCCCGGCGGGGGTACCGCGGCGTTGCCCCAGCGGCCCCGCCGGGATACCCCGGGATTCTCGCCTAGTGTTGAGGTCTGTTCTTGGCCCCTTGAGTCGGCTGACCGCCTCCCTCCCTCCTCCCCCTCCCCTCGGAACCGTCCTCCCAGATGTACGTATGTCTGCATGTATGTATGTATGCAGGCATGCATGCATGCATGCACGCATGTATGAATGCATGCATGCATGCATGTTTGTATATATGTATGTGTGTATGTGTGTCTGTATATAAATATATATGTATACATGTCTGCATGTACGTCTGTCTGTCTGTCTGTATGTATATACGTCTGCATACATGTATGTATGCATGCATGCATATGTGTATGCATGCATGCATGCATGCATGCATGCATGCATGCATGTATGTATGTATGTACGTACGTACGTACGTATGTATGTATGTATGTATGTATGTATGTATGTGTGTATGTACGTACGTGTATGTATGTATGTATGTATGTACGTATGTATATGGATGTATGTATGTATGTATGTATACATGCATGCATGTATGCATGTATGTGTGTATGTGTGTATGCATGTAGGTATGCAGGTATGTAGGTATGTAGGTATGTAGGTATGTAGGTATGTCGGAATGTATGTATGTATGTATGTATGTATGGATGGATGGATGGATGTATGTATGTATGTATGTATGTATGTATGTAGGCATGTATGCATTTATGTATGTATACATATGCCTGTATGCATGTACGCATTCATGTATGTATGTGCGTGCATGCGTGGTTGTATGTATGTACGTATGTATGTATGTACGTTTGTTTTTATGCATATAAATATGCATGCATGCATGCGTGTATCTATGCTAGTATGATGTGCATATGTATGTGCGCATGCATGTATGTATGTATACAGAAGTGGGACAGAAGGGGGACAACGGGATACCCCTGTAATTGAATAGGGGTGGTGAGATTTTCGAAACCCCTCCCCCCCGTCCCCTCCTTAAGGTGGGGGGGGGTCCCGAACCCCCCCCTCTCCCTCCCTTGAAGGGGGGGGGGGTCGGACCCCCCCCCCTCTCCCCCCGTTTGCGCCGGACAGAGAGCCAGGGAGGGGGCCTCTCCCGCTGCTCCCTTCTGCGCCGGAGAAGGTGGGTAGGGAGTATGGAGTAGGGAATAGTGAGTAGTGAGTAGTGAGTAGAGAGTAGCGATTAGTGAGCAGTGAGTAGTGAGTAGTGTTAGTGAGTAGTGCGTAGTAGTGAGTAGTGAGTAGTGAGTAGTGAGTAGTGAGTAGTGAGTAGTGAGTATTGAGTAGTGAGTAGTGAGCAGTAGGTAGCTGTTAGTGAGTAACGAGTAGTGAGTAATGAGTAGGGAGTACGGAGCAGTGAGTAGTGGGTAGTGAGTAGATGGTGGTGAGTAGTGAGTAGTGAGTAGTGAATCGTGGGTAGTGCGTAGTGAGTAGTATGTAGTGAGTAGAGAGCAGTGGGTAGTAAGTAGTGATCAGTGAGTAGTGAGCAGTGGGTAGTGAGTCGAGAGTAGCGAGTAGTGAGTAGGGAGTAGTGATTAGTGAACAGTGAGTAATGAGAAGTGAGTAGTGAGTGGTGAGTAGTGAGTAGTGAGTAGTGTGTAATGAGATGTGAGAAGTGGGTAGCGAGTAGCGGGTAGTGAGTAGTGAGTAGTGAGTACCGAGTACTGAGTTGTGAGTAGTGAGTAGCGCGTGGTGAGTTGTGAGTAGTGAGTGGCGGGTAGTGCGTAGTGAGTAGTGAGTAGTGATTAATGAGTGGGGTGTAGGAGTAGTGATTCGTGGATAGTGAGTGGTGAGTAGTTGGTGGTGAGTAGGTAGTAGTGAGTAGCCAGTAGCGAGTAGCGAGTAGCGAGTAGTGATTGGTGCGTAGGGAGTTGTGAGTAATTGGTGGTGAGTAGAGTAGTGAGTAGAGTGTAGCGAGTATGGAGTAGGGAGCAGTGGGTAGTGAGTACTGAGTAGGGAGTAGTGGGTGGTGAGTAGTGAGTATTGGGTAGCGAATACCGATTACCTTGTAGGGAGTAGCGAATAGTGAGTAGTTGGTAGTGAGTTGTGAGTACTGTGTGGGGAGTAGCGGGTAGAGAGTAGTGAGTACTGACTAATGAATAGCGAGTATCGAGTAGTGAGTAGGGAGTAGTGAGTAGTGAGTAGTGGACCGTGTTCAGTCATTCGTGAGTAGTGAGTAGTGACTAGTGGGCAGCGACTAGTGCGTAGTGAGTAATGAGCAGTGAGTATAGACTAGTGAGTAGTGAGTCGTGAGTAGGGAGTAGTGGGCAGGAAGCAGTGAGTAGTGGGTCGTTGGTAGTGAGTAGTGAGTATCGAATACTGATGTGGCCTAGGGTTAGGGGTTGGGTTTAGGGTCTGGGGTTAGGGTGAGGATGGGGGCTAGGGGTGGTAGGGGGAGAGCGGGTTCTGGAGTCCGGGGGCGGCGTGGCGAAAGGGGGGGAGGGGGGGGGGTAAAATTTCGAGCCCGAGGGGCGGGGGTCCGGAACCCCCCCTCCCTTTTGAATTGGAGGGGGGGGTCCTGGACCACGGACCGGGAAAAGGAGGGGGGGTGTTCCAGACGACGGACCAGGAAAAGGGAGGGGGGGGGGTCCGACGACGGACCGGGGAAAGGGGGGGGGGTCCCCTCCCACCCCCTCGGGGAGATCCAGCGGCGCGCCCTCATGTATACATGCATGCAAGTATGTATGTATGCATGCATGTAGGTACGTGTGTATGTGTGGATGGATGCATGCCTGCACGTATGTAGATATGTATATAGGTATACATGCATATTAGTGGTTAGGTGCGTGTGTATAATTGTATGTATGCATGGGTATGTACCGATGGTTGTGTGTGCGTATGTATATATGCATGATTTTATGCACATATGTGCGCATCGTTGCAGGTATGTATGCACGCATTCATGTATGTATGTATTCGTGTATGTATACATGTACTTATATATGCATGTCTGATGGCATGTATGTGTATATGTATGTATGCATGCATGTATGTTAGTGTTGGGTGTCTGCATGCATATCTGCATGTTATAGCCATGTCTGTATGTATAGTATGGTGATGAGTTGTATGCTTGCGTAAAAGGTGTATATAGAAGCATCTATACTTATACCTAGGCAACCATGCATGAATACTTGCGCATGTCTCATCCGAGCAAGGGTGCCGAACGGCTCTACACCAACCTTGGGTGCGTCCCTGGTGATTGTTATCGTTGTTGTTGCTTGTTTTCGCCGTCCCGCCCGCGAACTGCCCTGCGATCCGCCCCGCGACCCGCCCGCGACCCACCCGCGAACAACCCCGCGACCCGCGACCCACCCTGCGACCCGCCTGCCGTTCCACCCGCGGCCCAACATGCTTCGCGGCCCACCTCGCGACCTGTCCTGCGAAGCAGATTGGGGCTGGCGTTTTAAACAGATCGGCTTGTCGGAGGTCAGGGGATGTCTTTGGAGGCCCCCTGGATGGACGCTCTGGGGTCAACGTCGTTTTCTTCCTAGCTCGTGATCATCTGCGACGCTCCCCCCGCAGGTTGCCCCTGAAGGCGCTGCACTGGAACTCGGGCCTGTGCTATGGCTGTTACGGGAAAGCCGAGAAGAGCTGCAAGCTCTGCCATTCGAGCCTCGAGGACTTCCAGCTGCGCTGGAAGACGGGCGTGTGCGACAGGTGCTACGACGGCGTGTCGAAGAGTTGCCACTTCTGCCAGGCACCCCTCACCCGGGATCAGCGGAGGTGGTGGTGGTCGAAGAACGAATATCGGCACAATCCTAACTTTTCGGAGGTCCGTGCTCATCTCTTGGGCCGGCGCTAGGGCCTCCTCCGCCATAGCGCAGACCTGCCCCAGGGGGTGGTGCTGGGGGTCCCGCCAGGGGGTCCAGTGCCTACCCAAGAACTCCTCGCGGACTTCCGACAACATGTTATGCGTCTCGTGGAAAACCGACCCCAGCCCCCACAACTATTGATGTTAGATGTCAACGTTTTGCAATTCCGGCGAATGTGCGTCAGTGTAGACGCCCTGTAAGCGAGGCCATTGCCGTTGGCTTGGTCTAAAGTCCCTCATGTGGGGGGCGGGGGGCGCTTTTCATGCGTTCATCTTGTTCCTCCAGGTGGGGCACAGGCATGTGCGATACGTGCTACGACACGTGCGAGAAGACCTGCAAGAGCTGCAGCGCGTACATTCCGGCGGGGGCGCTCCGCCACGGCACTGGCCTGTGCGACCAGTGTTACGATAAGTGCGAGAAGAGGTGCCGCGCGCACGAGCACAAAGTTTCATTACCGCACACAATCGTGAGTGTGTGTGGGAGGAGGAGGAGGAGGGGGAGGAGGAGGAGGAGGGGGAAGAGGAGGAGGAGGAGGAGGAGATGGAGGAGCGAGGAGGAGGAGGAGCGAGGAGGAGGAGGAGGACGAGGAGGAGCGAGGAGGAGGAGGAGGAGGAGCGAGGAGGAGGAGGAGCGAGGAGCAGGAGGAGGAGGAGGAGGGATGATGAGGAGGAGGCGAAGGAGATGGAGGAGGAGGACAATCATACTATTAATAACAACGATGTGAATACTACGAATACGAATTATAAGACTTTACAGAAAAACGAAGAAACGTAGTCATGATGATAAGAAGAATACTTCGAACAAAACAGCAATATCAGTAATAATAATAATAATCAGAATCATCATAATAATAATATTAGTAATCATACGAATAAGACAACGAATACGAATGATAAGACGAATGCTACTACTGCCGATAACGTTACTATTGATTATCTAACTAATATCACTAATAACTATTTAAGTGCAATTAATATCAATAAATAATAGCTAATATCACTAATTATTATTAGTAACGATATGTTTAAATACATTTAATATATTAAGCAGCTCTCCCATTAGCTGGCGCCTCTTAAGAAACAGCCTCTCCTCCTATGAAGCCTTCCACCCTCACCCATACCCCTTCGTGCGCGCCGCCAACTGGGCCGGTCCCTCGCTCCGCTGGTTGGCAGCGGCCGCTGAGCGCAGGTGTCACGGCTGCCAGGAGAGGATCCCCGCGGGCTCGTTGCGGTGGTTCTCGGGAGTCTGCGACAAGTGCTACGACGTGAAGAAGGCGAAGAGTCGGGAAGCTGGCGCGATCCCGCCGGGGTCGTTTCGGTGTTTTCCCGAGGCTCAGAAGAGTCACGGATAACGATTCGCTTCAAAATTCTGGTCAGAACGCACCCTTGGAGAGGTCCATGGTATCGATACCTTCTGCCCCCCCTAGTGGTGGGCGCGGAGGAGCGGTTGCCGGTTTGCACGGCGAAATGGCGGCCATGTCTGCCTCGAATTTTTGGGGTTGATCATCCAGCTGCGTGGGGCAAGCCGGACGGTGGTTGCAGATCTGGTTGCCATGACCTCTCGAGGCTCGCACAATCTGTCAGGACGCTCTTTGGAATGAGACCCAGGACTACTTGAACGGACCCTTGCTGGGACGGATCGAGGGGGCTCTCCAGGGCGCGCGGTTAGGACGGGGATTGAAGGAGGTGCAGGATCTCATTGGGCCAGTTTTCTTAAGAAAAACAATAAAAAAGGGGCTGTGGTTTTGGAGTAGGGGAGCTCACCGCACGCTTCTTCATCTCCGCGCGAGCGGGTCGCCGATCTGCAGATCTTGCAGGAAAAACATCCCGGACGAGGATACTCATTGGAACACGTCTTTGTGCAATAAGTGTTACGACGACATTCCTTTCAAGATCTGTAAGTTTGACAATTGTGGCAAACAGATAGCTTCTTCCCAACTGCATTGGAGAACGGGTCTGTGTGATGCATGCTTCGACCGCTCACAGAAAACTTGCGTTACGTGCAAGGCGGGGATCGATTTCGGAAGTCTGCACTGGGGTAGTCAACTCTGTGATTCGTGTTATGACCGGTGCGACAAGACGTGTGTCATTTGTCGTGGCCCAGTCTTATTGGGCGAGCTCAGATGGGGGACCAGTCTCTGCGACAATTGCTACAACGGCTGCAAAACGAACCCTTGCAAGCTGTGCAAAAAGCAGATCGACATGAAGGAGCTGTTCTGGAACACAGGTCGGGCGCTGTTGGGGGGGGGCGGAGGGTGCCAAAGGCGCGTAGAAACGACGGAGCCACTCCAGATCGCGGGGCGAGCGCTGCTGGAGGGAGGATATGGGGGGTGACCAGAGCTCAGGTAAGACGTGCCGCGCCCTCCTTGGCGCTAGCTTCCGCGACGGTGCCGCATCGATTGCTGACCTGCCGCGTGCCGATCGCTGATCTGCCGTTTTGATCCTGGTTCCAGATCTCCGATATTTTCTTATGTGTTTGAATGCGTGGCCCCTTGGAGCTATTGGCCTCTGCACGGGGACCGTTTCTCGCCTATCCAGAGTGGTCAGCTTCACGTTGACTGAGCCCCAGATCTGCCTCCAGACGAAGAGCACTGCTGCGAAATCCCTTTGCCGTGCTTGTTCAAGGCGTTGGAGGTCTGGGGGCGTCGTCGTCGTTGCCGCCGCCGCCGCCGCCGTCGTCGCCGTCGTCGTTGTCGTCGTCGTCGTCGTCGTTCTGTCTGTCAATTCGTAACGCTTCGCGCACCCCCACCATCCCACCCAGACACGATGCCTAGAGGAGCTGCCCTGAACGGGGGAGCGCAGCATCACCTGGAGATATCGGGGCCAGAGGCCCCTCGGTTGTTTTCTTGGGTTCTTCGGTGTGTCTCTGGAGGGCCTCTTGTGGCCATCTTGGGGAGGCTCGGTGGCCCCTTGCTGGCTCTTTGGGAGCCTCGTGGGGCGTCTTGGGTGCCTCTGGGGTGGCCTCTTGGCGCCTCATTGGGGCCCCATTGGGGCTCTCTTGAGGGCCTTTCTCGGGCAGTCTTGGGGCAATCTGAGAGGCTATCGGGCAAAAAATGGGGTGTCCCTTCGCTGCCGTGCCCCCCCCCCCACAGGGCCAACATTTGGCTTCATACCTGAAGAAAGCAATGACTTGGCCTTCTCGCTGAGGCCTTCTTAGACGCTCAGCCGCTCGCGGGCCCCCCCATCCAGACCCAGGTCAAGCTTCCCAACCCGCCCGCACGCCGTCTCGCTCACTCTCGCCCGCCCTCTCAACACATCAGTAACACGGGAGTGTCAGCAAATCGCTTGCGCGCGGCAAGCAATATGCCGGAACCCCCGCCGTTCCTTTCATAAACGAATCACACCTGAGAAAACCCCAATCAGTGGATGATTCGAAAATTAATACGATGGATCTTGAGATCGATTGTGAGATCGATAATGAGATCGATAGTGGAATCGATTGTGAGGAAAATTGTAAGGTCGATCGTGAGACCGAGAGTGAAATCGATTCAATGAGATCGATAGTGAGATCGATCGCGAGACCGCTCATGCGATCTCTAGTGAGATCGCTTGTGAGATCGATAGTTCGATCGATTGTGAGATCGATGGTGAGATCGATAGAGAAGTGGGTAATGAGATCGATGGTGAGACCGGTCGATAAGAAGATCGACCAGGAACCCGGGAACCCGGGAACCTCGCCGCCCTCCGAAATCGGCCCGGAACCCGGAACCGGGAACCCGGGACCCGGAGCTGGGAATCCGGGAACCCAGCGTGCGACGAAAATCGGCGGGACACTTTCGCCAAATCTTTCAACTTCCGCGAGGACCCCTTCAGTGCAAGTACTGATTGGAAATGTGCACTGGTCGCGGGGCGCCCGCGCATGCTCCAGATTTGGATGCAACGTGAATTTGTATTGCTCCCCACATCCTCAGTGGGGCTCTTGTTTTTCCTGGACACCCCGCGCAGGTGTCTACAACAGAGGAGCACACGCGCACACACATACTGTTAAGTCAGCGGCGCAGAGGAATCTCTGGCGCGGACAGCAGAGCAGATAGGGGGTACTACTTACAGATGGACATAGCCGAACGAACAGCTTAGCGAAGCGTCGCACGCTGTAAACGCGCGCACACACAAACACCTACACCCACACCCACATCCACACGCACACGCACGCACACGCACGCAGACGCACACGCACACGCACACGTACACGCGCACGCAAACGCACAGACAGACAGACCCACAGACACACAGACCGACAGACACATAGACACACAGACACAGAGTCATACAGACACGCAGGCACACAGACACGCACAAGCAGACACAGACACACGGACACAGACACACAGACTGAGACACACATATACACAGGCACATAGGCACACAGACACGCACACACACATAGACACACACACAAACACACAGACACACAGACACACAGACACACACAGACACACAGACACAAAGACAAAAGACACACAGACACACAGACACACAGACGCATAGACACACAGACACACATATATACAGACACACAGGCACACAGACGCACAGACAAACAGACACACATACACACAGACACGCAGACACACAGACGCACAGACAAACACACACACACATACGCACACACACACGCACAAGCACACGCACACGCATTCGCACACCCACCCGCACACACACACACACGCACACGCACGCGCACACGCACACACGGACACAGTCACAGACACATACCCGGACACGCTGACGGACCCACACACGGGCACGGACACGGACACGGACACAGGCACAGACACAGACAAAGACACAGGCACAGACACAGACACAGACGCAGACGCAGACGCAGACGCAGACGCAGACGCAGACGCAGACACAGACGCTGGCGCAGACGTAGACGCAGACGCAGACGCAGACGCAGACGCAGACACAGACGGAGACGCAGACACAGACGCAGACGCAGACGGAGACGCAGGCGCAGAAGACGCAGACGAAGACGCAGACACAGACGCAGACGCAGACGCAAACGCAGACGCAGACGCAGACGCAGACGCAGATGCAGACGTAGTTGTACACACATACACACACATACACATACACATACTTATATAACGTACACATACAACATACACATGCACACATACACACATACATACACACATACACATGCACATACACATACACATGCGCAAACACATACACATACACACCCACACCCGCATCCGCATCCGCATACACATACACATACACATACACATACACATACACATACACATACACATACACATACACATACACATAAAGCTACACATAAAGCTACACGGTCATATACACATACACTCACACGTACACATACACATACGCATACACACCGACATATATGTACCCACGCACGCACGCACGCACGTACGCACTCATGCACAGACGCAACACACACGACACACCCCAAGGCCCAGCAGATAGCGGGAGAGCCTCTGCAACGAGGGCGGCGGCTCCATTGGCAACTGCTCCTGCGTCGGGTCTGCGGCCCGACCTTGGATGTCCAGCGAAGGTTGAGACGGCGGGCAGCCGCCGAGACTCTTTGCGCTGCCCCGCGAGAGGCTGGCCAAGAGGGAGGTGAGAGACCCCTGCCCGTTGAATCGGCTGGAGGACCTGAGGTGAATACCAATGCTACATCGGTGACGTGCGCGACAGGCCCGTCCGGCAGAGCAGGGACAGACGTTGGGGGCATCCGTCCAGCTGCCCCGAAGCCTTGAGATGCAGATGACCCGCGAGACATGACAAGACTGCAGAGCGACAACCTGGGATCCGGCTACACTGGCTTGCAGGAGAAGCCCGTCCACCGCAATGATTGGTCGGAGGACCAGCCTGGACCTGCGCCAGGAGCGGACCCTAGGAGGGCCGTGGGAGGTGGACCTGGTGGTGTCCGTGACAGCCTTAAGAGTACGGACCTCCCCTCCAGTGCGCGGTGGAAGTGGCAGGAAAACACCAGCGCCTGTGGGGCGCCAGATGGCGCTGCAGCCGGCCCGCAAGAAGGGAGCAATGAGTGCGGCAGGGCTCTCAGCAGAGGGCTGGCCGAAGACCCTGCGCTCAACCAGGAGCCGAAGGAGTTGGACCTGTACCGCGACCCCGACCTTCGTCCCCACCCGGTCAGGGACGAGGGGGGCAGCGGGGACGAGGTGGCGACGATGCAGTTGGCGCCAGCGGATCTAACGCAGGATACTGCGCCAGGTGTGCCGTCGGCAGCAGGCGGAGGAGACGACGGCGGCAACGAACCCTTGAAAGCCGAGCTGCAGCGCCTCCCGAATCAGATGCTAGCGTGGAACCAGAGGTGGATACACAGTGTCGGTTTGGATGGAAGCGACGAAAAGGACGATTGGCTCGAGTGGTGCGTGCAGTACGCGGAGGCGCAGCACGTGCAGGCGCGGATGCGTCCCCTGTTCGTGCGAGGAGTACGGAGGCAGCGACATACTGCTCGCAACCTGGCCAGGCTGCTCCTCGCGGGCGCGTGGCGGCTCGGCAAACCAGGGCGACTGCGTCGCATGCGGCTCCTCATGAGCCAGGCCTGCGACCACATGACGGGCGAGACACCTGCGGTTTTGCAGCGCGACTGGGGGCACAGTGAGCTGCGGCGAGGGATGCGGCGCGAGAGTGGGATGCGCTCCATGAGTTGCTGCCCTGGGAGAGCGAACCGGAGGGCGACGGCGGCGCTCCCCGAAGCAGGCCCGTCCAGGCCGCCAGAAGAAGGGGCATGTCATTGACGCGGAGGCGCTGTTGATGGTGCTTAGCCAGATTGTGCCGGCACCGACCTCACGTGCCCTGGCCAAGGTGGGGCCGACCCCGATGAGCGCCCCAGCCCCACAGCCAGCTGTGGGGGCGCCACCGATGTACCAGCCAGCGCATCCAGCGACGACCTGGTCGACGTCGACACGAGGTGATTCCCGCCAGCGCGAACGAGACTACCGCCGCTGGGTCTTCTCGCGGCGACGCGGAGCGCGCGGGTGCAGCAGGAAGTGGGCGGCCAGGCCGACGCCAGCGCGGACGACGGTCCTCATCGACGCCCGCGGCCACCCAAGGAGAGTAGGGCGGTGAGTCAAAAGCCGAACGCGTGCCCGACCTTGAGGACGCGGCCGGGGTGCCCAATGGGGGCGGCGCGCCCGAGGATGACGGCATCGACCCGGTCGATGACGTGGCATGCTGCAGACGGTCAAGATCAACATCCAGCAGGTCGTTCTAGCGAGGGACAGG